CGAAGAAGATTTGCTTATCATACCGAAGACATAACAAAAATAGATACTTGGCGAGCAAAAGTTAAACTTTTCATTGATTAAGAAAGCGGAATTACAAAAGTGGGGCTAAGCCCGGTTACATTCCAAAAAAAAAAAGGGAAAAAGGGCCGAAGATCAGTCTAAATCTACATCAACGGTTTGCTCGGCCAGTCCCTCCTCAGCCTCATCTGCTAGCGCATCTACCACCGTGACAACCTCTTGCTCGATCTCTCGATCCTTGGCCCCTTCCTTCAGAAGCTTCAGAAGGAGGATGTTGCTTGGCCGGTTGCACGACGGTAGCTTCTGCTTCAGCTGCTTGTTTGGCTTCTTCGATTAGCCTCCTCTGTACGGCACCGACATAAGCTTGCATATAGGCCGGGATGAAGGCAGCAGGAGGGTTTTGAAACACCTCGGCGTCCTGACCATGGCCAAGTTTTTCTACGGCGACTTTCCAACCGCACTGGGAAAAGATGTCATTGGTCCCCTGGACCTGTCGTTCATATGCTGTCTCACTCTCGGCATAACCGCGGTCTCCAGCCTCGTCGACCTCTTTCTCCAGCTCAGTTTTGTGAGCGTCGCGGAGTTTGCGCAGCTCGGCAATGTATCGAGCCTTCGTCACTTGGAGGGCCCTCTACTTGTCCTTGTCTGCCCGGGCCAATCTTTCAGAAAGCTTGTCGCGCTCGGCCGCTGCTGCTTCCTGCGCGACCTTCAGTTTTGCCAGCTCGGCCGTCTTGGCCTTGTTGTCAGTAATTGCCTCCTATAGACTTTTCCGCACGGCGATCATTCGCTCGTGGGCCAGGTAATTCTTCTGCGCGGCCTGCGCAACAAACGAAAATGTCAGAACTCCACAACCGAGCAGACACTTGACAACAGGAGAACTTGCAAACTTACCAACACTATTGACTTTGTTGCCGAGCACAGAACCTTCAGGTCGGACAGCTCCTCGTGCTTTTTCATGTCGGCAGGAAGGAGCCGCCCTTTGGTCATGTTGAAGCCGAGAGAGTAATCCTTGCGTAGACCGAGTCCGCAGTAGAGCCAGCCCGGCCTTTGTATGTTAACTCGGGCGACTAGACTGGGGGGACACTGGATCGAGCGGATGGCTCGGTGATCGGCTGTTCAGTCTGGTCCCCCAAGTTGGTAGAAGCATGCTCGGTTGAATCTTCATCTGCCAAATGTTGTTCGGTCTGATTTTTTCTCGGCCTTTTCTTTGACCGACCTGCAACTTGTTCGCTGGCCAGAGCCGGCACAACCCCCTCATCTTGCACGGCCGGCGTGGAAGAAGTTCCCCCAGCTGCCTTCGGTGGCTGGGAGTCGCTCGCCTCACCGATGATCATTGACTTGATAGCTCGGATCTTGGCCATCTTTTGCTCGGTTGTCAAAGGGACCAGTTTGATCGATGGAAGGCTGGGATCTGGTTCTGGAGAAGGTGCACGTAGGAAGTCGGTCACCCTGCTCTTGCGCGGCGCCGTGTAGCGGTAGCTCGGTTTGAAACCGAGCAGCTTGGGTGATTCTCGCTCCTCAGCTGGATTACGCAACACAACCCTTATAGCCTCCTGGTTTGCGCGGGAGTAATCCTCTGCCAAGAGTTTATAGTCTGCAACATGAAGGCAGCTGTTAGACCGGCAGTAAAAGGAGCAACTTCAAAAAAATTGATGCCGAGATGCTCACCAGCACTTCCAAAGTCTTTTCTTATGTACCAACCCGATATGGGTGCTTCGGTGTCCTCATAATTACCGGACATCCACAAAAAATCGTCATCGTTGGTCTCTTTGTCCGGGTTACCTTCGATGAGTTTTGCTCGACCTTTCCTGACCTTGAGATACCAGCAAACCCCACCTTTATTTTTACTAAGTGCATATTGGTGAAATATCTCGGCGAGGCCGAGATTCAGACCAAGTATTCTATTTAGCTCGGCCACGCCGTTTATTATTTTGTATGTATTGTTGGAGACTTGGGTCTGGCACAACCTAGTCTGCCTTAAAAACTCGCAGATCAGGGGTTGGACCGGGAAGTGCAGGCCTCCTTCTACAATAGACACCACCGTGAAGGGGCATTTGTCCAGCTCGCCCCAGGGACCTTTCTTGGCGAGCTCCAAGTGGACATCATCTGGAATATTGTACTCTCTACGGAACTCGGCCAGTGCCCCCGGAGAATTCACCATGAACCGGTACTTCCCCATCTATCCCGGTTTTATTTAGTTGATTGATTTAGGTCGTATCTCGGTAAAAATTTGGTGAATGTTTGCTCGGACTTTGAGCTTCACCGGTTGTAACGCTGAACGGGCCTGGTCGGTCCTAGTTTGTTCTGCATTATTAAGAAACAAGTCCAAGGATTAGCGTGGCATAAATTGCACGGCTTCACTATCTGGGGCGTTTGATCGGTTCAATTTTCTTATCTCGGCTTCACTATGTGGCCGACCAGGCCTTCCTAGATCGGTTCTAGCCCCCCTTCTTGCAGCTTGGTTTCGGCCTCAAAACAAGACCACAAACAGGCTCTTGCTCGGCTAAATCCTATTTATAGATAAAAAACTTGGGTTTTGCTCGGTCTCGCTCAGGGTTCAGGCTGTTTATCCTAAGTGTCAAGTCCGTGCATCGAAACTAGGGGAAACAGGGGCATGGGAGCCCCATCTGCTTCTCTGATTCTAGTTTTTCCTAAGGTGTACCAGTATTACCCCAAAGAGGGGGCACTGGTAAGATTCTAACAGTCCCAGGCAAGAACATGAAAAACGTAAATGGCGAGTACGAAGGAGGGGCAGGTAAACTTACCGATATGGACGCCAAGTGAGGAGCAGTTAACCACGATCTTGTCTACAGCCTTTGAGAGGACGAAGGTGGTCGAGAACGACTGGAGGAGCAGTGATGGCAGAAGCTTGGAAACTTGAAGGCTAGGGTTTGGCTCGAGAGAGAAGATGAACAGTAGGGGCGTATGTGACCCGTCATGTGCGTATATAAAGGAGGGGGGAAGCCAAAGAGCGGTAACCTTTTGAAATTTGCGTGTGACGAAGACAGCTGGGGGTCTGCACGAAACCAATGGTGTGAAGCCACGTGGCATCGAAAAGATGGCTCTGTCAGTACGGCTGTACGATCGATGACTAGACTACTGGGGCAATCCCCGACGACCGACCAATTCGAATGGCCTGGTCAGAATGATAATCCCAAATCACGCTCAGCTCGGATGGAAATAAAGGGCAATTGAGAGGGAGATTTGCGCCGGGCTATGGCGCCGAACCGAATTGGCACGGCCTCTCGGGCTATCGCGTTTGGCCGAGCTATGTAGTTGACCGCAATGCGAAGACATGCATGTGCCCAACCGAGCTTTTGATTCGGCTAAGTCTTCGGTTGGATCCGCAATGGTGCGTTTGGACCGCGCCAAGCACAGCCCGGAATGAATTTAGACCGGGATGAAGGCCTGCACGCCTCACGGCCAGTCAGTTCGGATGGATCGACTTCTTACAGTTCGGCCGTCCCGGTCATGGTGGTGTTTCTTCCCAAGGGATAGATCGGTCATGATATCCCGGTTGAGTGTGCCACCTGGACCAATGGTGTGATGGAGGGGAAATCCACTCGTGGCACGCGTCAATACCGTTTGGCAGTTCCACACACGCTGTTTGGAGGTTTTGGCCTTTACATGCGTAAGGAAGGTAGAGGGGAGCACTACCACCTGTCCAGGGAAGGACAACAAAGGTAGTGCGCCCACAATCTCTGAGGTTGCATGGCCAGCCTAGAAAAAGGAGGCATGGGTGACGTTGTAGGTAAGCAATCTGAGGAATTCCCAACTCTCTCTCTCTCAAAAGTGCTCTCTCCTTCTTTAAGTGTGCTGACTTGATCGTCGGAGGGTCTATCCGGCAGCACACCGCTGGGTAGCTCACCGTCTTTCTGTTTTCAGGCCAAGCGACGCTGCGCAAAACTCGAGCGCAAGGAGTACGGAGAACAAAGGATATTTCACCCCTGTACAATTGGCGTCGTCTGTGGGAAAAACTCGACAGACAAACCTTGCTCTTCAAGCTTTTTCGACTGTTTCCATGGCTAACCATGATGAAACTCCACTGTCCGTCGTCGATGGTATCACACCGGAGTCTGTCCGACGGAGAGATGGCCCTCCTGCTATTCCCACAATGGCGGGCTTGGAGACTTCTTCCCGGGGTGCGCGCGACAAACGCGCAAGGAGCACTGATCGCTCGAAGAGTCTAGAGAGTCACATGCTCAGCACCTGGAGCACAAACTCAAAGACTAGGACGCTCTCATTCGCAAGATGGCAGTTGAAATGGAGGCGTTGATGTGCCAGATGAAGGGGAAGGGTGCTGCTGGAGAGGGCAACCTCAGTGAGCGCACCCCGCCCCCTCGCTCTGGCAGTTGCCACCAGGAAAGGACGTCCTCCCTCTCTATCACCAGACGCTATGGGGTAGGAGACTCTGACCCACAGGTAGGAAGGTCTCATACTCGCGACGGCAGCAACCGTCCCTCGCACCCGTCGTCTACGTCGAGATACTCTTTCTCTGTCCATTCGGGAGACCTGAGAGATGTACTAGAAGAGAGGGCTCGCCGTAGACAGACCCGAAGGCTGCCGGCATCGCAAAGGCTGGGCTCCCAGATCCGTTGTAGTGAGGAAATGGCAATGCCTGCGCCTAGGATGATAGCACCAGGGGACAGAGAGCTAGCAAGACTTACCGCTACTCCGCTGTCCCCAGAAATTGAGAGCACGCCGCTCCTGTCGGATTCCACTAACCTAAGTTCACGTTGTACGACGACAAGACTGATCCGTACATGCACGTGAGTCATTACTGGCAAGTAATGGCAGAACATCGGCGCAATAACGCCCTCATGTGCCTCATATTCCCAGCAAGCTTGGGCGAACTAGGCCTGAAGTGGTTCGAAAGGCTTCCGGAGGGGAGCATCGAGGGCTGGCAACAACTAACAGAGGCCTTCGTCACCAGATTCAAAACCAACACTCGAACACAGGTTGACCATCTCCTGGGCGTTAAGATGGAATCTGGAGGTTCTTTGAACGCATACAATGCCAAGTACTGGGAAACTTACAACGAGATCCTCGATTGCCCCACCAATTTGGCGATCACCCAATACAAGCGGGGTCTCCCAGTCGGACATAGGCTGCGAGATTCGCTTACGATGCACCAGCCCACTACCATGGAATCTTTGATGCAGCGGATCAACGAACACATCCGAGTGGAGGACGATGCCGCCACCACGACTGAGAAGGAGAATCCGGTCCCGGCGGACAGAAGAGTGGCGGGGGAGGTTCACTCAGTAGGGCAGGAGGACAACCGCCCAAACGATCGGTCAAAAGATCAACGTTGTGGCTCAAACCGCAATGATAGGAACAAAGGTCGCAGAAACGACCGAGCTAACGCTCCTCGTGATGAAAAGGAAGATGCCAAGAGAAAGTTGAAAGCACAAACCGGTATCACCACGGTCTTTAAAATCCCTATTTACCGCATCCTGAGTGAAATCCGAGGTGAACCCTACGTCCGTTGGCCGGCCAAGTTGGGAAACACGCAGAGAGGCTTCAACTCGAGGTATCGCTGCACCTTCTATGAAGAACGAGGGCACCAAACGGAGGACTGTGTGCCGCTCAAACAACATTTGGAGTAGTTGGTGGCGGCAGGGCATCTGGACCAGTACATAGATGGCGGTATGAAAGCCGCTCCCCAGGGACAGGGCGAGCCAAATGGCCTCGCCGTCCTGGATGCAGCGCCGCAGGGCGTGATCAATGTCATCCATGGCATCATTGAGCCGGCAAGGGTCTGCGAACTACGAGGGATGATCAAGAATGCTGAGCACATGAGAGAGGTGCTCTCCGTTCAGCCCGCCGTGAAAAAGGGAAAGACCGAGGAAAAAGACGTCCTGACCTTTTCTAGCAACGACATGGAAAGAATTCAAGTGCCTCATAATGACACCCTAGTGGTGACCCTCTGTGTCAAGGACTTCGACATCAAAAGAATTCTAGTTGACCAGGGGAGTTCGGTCGAGATCATGTATTACGACGCATTCAAACAGATGAAGTTGGAGGACAAGGACTTAGCCCCCGCAACGTCTCCATTGGTTGGCTTTAACTCTCAACCAGAATGGCCGATCGGAAAGATCATATTGCCGGTAAAAGCGGGATCAGTCACGAAGCAAGTGGAGTTTTGGGTGCTTAAAGTCTCATCGACCTACAACTTAATTTTGGGCAGGGGCTGGTTGCATGCCATGCAGGCGGTAGCATCGACCTACCATCAGGTCCTATGCCTCCTGGCACCAACTGGACAGATAGAAGAGGTTTGGGGAGACTAGGTGATGGCAAGACAGTGCTTCGTCGCAGTAAAGGGCAGCAGAGCTGCCAAGGGCTTTGTGCAGATGATAGAGGGCCCGGAGGGAAAGGAAGTCGTGGAAGACGTCGGAAGAAAGGCCGAGGAGAAATCGGTCGAAGACTTAGTGGAGGTGCGCACGGACGAGAATGACCCAAACAAGTTTTTTCTTTTGGGCTCATCCCTGTCCAGCGCTGAGCGACTTGAGCACGTTGACTTTTTGATTTCCAATATGGAGGCCTTCGCATGGACGCCTTACGATATGCCTAGCGTCGACCCTAGCTTCATTTGCCACCGGTTAAACGTCTTTCCAAATGCATGGCCGGTAATCTAGAGGACACAACGCTCGGCCTTGCACCATGCCGAGATAGTGGCGGATGAGGTCAAGAATTTGTTGGAAGCGGGGGGCAATAGAAGAAGTGCAATATCCTAGGTGGATATCTAACACGGTGGTGGTGCCGAAAAAGAACGGCAAGTGGCGGGTTTGCGTTGATTATAAGACGGTCAATCGTGCGTGCCCAAAGGATAGCTTCCGCCTCCCAAGAATCGACCAGCTGGTGGACTTAACTGCTGGCCATCAGAGGTTCAGCTTCCTCGATGCGTATCGTGGCTACCACCAGATAGCCATGTATGAACCAGACCGAGAGATCACTTCGTTCACCACTCCGCGTGGCCTGTACTGTTACAAGGTCATGCTATTCGGACTAAAAAACGCTGGGGCAACTTTTCAAAGAATGGTAACCAAGATGTTTGCTCCCCTTCTAGGCCGCACCATGGAGGCTTACATCGATGATATGGTGGTAAAGAGCAAGGAAAAATCTCGACACCTCGCCGACCTAGCAGAGATGTTCACTACACTCAAACATCACAAGCTGCGTTTGAATGCCTCCAAGTGCGCCTTCGGAGTCGGCACCGGAAAATTCCTAGGTGTTTTGGTCACGAACCGAGGAATTGATGCCGACCCTTCCCAAATCAAGGCGATACAAGAGCTGGAGCGCCCAAACTCCACGAAGGACGTGCAACATCTTACCGGGATGGCAGCCGCGCTAAACAGATTTATCAGCCGGTCTTCAGATCGTTGCAGGCCCTTCTTCAAAACTTTGAAGGCCAAGTTCTTCTGGGATGACGAATGTGACCGTGCATTGGCGGATCTGAAAGCATACCTTTCCTCAGCCCCTATCCTGGTCATACCAAAACCGGGTGAAGAACTGTATCTCTACTTGGCAGTCTCTCAACATGCGGTAAGCGCCGTGCTGAGGGTACCCAGCACCTCCCCATCTTCTACGTAAGCAAGACCTTGCTCCCGGCTGAATCAAGATATCTGCCACTAGAAAAATTGGCTCTGGCCCTGATGATGGCCTCCAAAAAGCTAACGCACTATTTTCATGCTCACATAGTCGTTGTGCTAACCGAATTTCCACTTAAGGTGCTCTTCGAAAAGGCTGATTTTACCGACAGAACTCTAAAGTGGGTTGTAGAATTGGGGCAGTATGATATCAAGTTTCAACCGTGCACTGCCATCAAAGCTCAAGCTCTTGCCGACTTCGTGGCGGAATTTGCCCTAGGAACGCACCCCGTTTGCCCTATCGATGTGGCCAGCGCGGATTTGGTGCAGCCCATGGCTTAAATAGCAGATACGAATAGCGGACAACAAGTGACGGAAGGGCAAACGAAAGTCAAACAAAAAATGCAGGAACCGGACAACCTGTCAAAGCACGGGCTCGACTGGGGCATAGAAAGAAACCAGAATGAACCGACCAGTGCCCTGCAGCTAAAGAGCTCCCAAAATCCCTCCGACTGCTAGAAATTGTTCATTGGCGAGATGTGGGAACTCTTCGTCGATGGGGCCTCCAACAGGCATAGCGCTGGGCTGGGGATCGTCCTGACCTCCCCAGATGGGCTGACCATAGAGCATGCGATCACAATCGGTTTTCCAGCGTCCAACAATGAGGCGGAATATGAAGCCCTCATTGTCGGATTGAAAAGCGCATTGAGGATGAAAGCGTCGGAGCTTATGATATTCAGCGACTCCAAGCTGGTGATCAATCAGGTCTCTGGGGAGTATGAGGCCAGGGATGAAAGGATGGCCAAATATCAGGCACTGGTACGCGCAGAACTCAAAAAGTTTGCTGCGATAAGAATGGAACAAATTAACCGCGTGGTGAACAAAGCAGCTGACGAACTGGCCGGCCTGGCATCCATGCAAACAACTTTTCCCAATCCTTTGATGACAGATTTTTTGCCCCGGCCTAGCATTGAGGAACCAGAGGTGCCTGAAGTACTCTGCGCCGACTTAGGACCATCCTGGATGGACCCCGTCATCGCCTTCCTAAAGGATAGAATTCTACCAGAAGAAAAGAAGGCGGCCAACAAAATTCGAGCCAAATCAGAGCGGTTTTGGCTCTCTCCATCTCGAGCCTTATACAAGAAGTCTTTCACTGGGCCGTATCTGAAGTGCGTCCACCCTGACAAGGTGGAAGCCTTCCTCTATGAGATTCATGAAGGCATCTGCGGGAGTTGTATTGGGGGAAGGTCTTTGGCTTACCGAGCGATTTCCCAAGGTTATTGGTGGCCGTGCATGCAGGCGGACGCGCAGAAATACGTTCGCAGGTGTGAAAAATGTCAAAAATTTGCTCACCAAATCCACCAGCCGGCCAGAGAGCTACTCCTCCTTACAAGTCCTTGGCCGTTCGCCCTTTGGGGACTGGATATTGTGGGACCACTCCCAACAGCTCCAGGCAACCGCAAGTTTTTCATCGTTGCTACCGACTACTTCACTAAGTGGGTTGAGGCCGAGCCGTTGGCAACCATAAAGGAAAAAGATGTGAAAAAGTTTGTTTGGCAAAATGTCGTCACTCGCTTCGGTATACTGAAGGCCCTTATTTCGGATAATGGCACTCAGTTTGATGGGAAACTCTTTCGCGGATTCTGCGAAGAGTTAAAGATTAAGTTCTACAACTCAACACCGGCCTACCCTCAGTCAAATGGTCAAGTAGAAGCCTCAAACAAGACCATCCTGGACGGGCTGAAGAAGCGGCTAGAGAAAGCCAAAGGGAAGTGGGCTGAAGAACTACCCAATGTGCTCTGGGCATACTACACCACACCGAGACGTTCGACCGGGGAAACACCATTTGCCTTGACCTATGGCATGGAGGCTGTTATCCCACTAGAAATCGGCATGCCGACCATCTGGTCTGAAAGTTTTTAGCCAGACTTGAATAGTGAAGCAGTGGCCTTGGAGCTTGACCTAGCTGAAGAAAGAAGGGAACGGGCGCTAATCCACATTGCAACCTACCAGCAAGAACTCTCCAGGAAATACAACAAGACCGTGCATCCAAGGCTATTCAAGATCGGAGACTGGGTCTTGAGAAAGGTGATGGGCAACACGGTGATCCCTGTCGAAGGCAAACTAGGTGCAAATTGGGAAGGGCCGTATAAGGTAACTGGCCTTGCAAGCAAAGGGGCATACCATCTAGAAGATTTAGATGGTAAAGCTATCCCCAGACCGTGGAATGCAGCTAATCTTAAGATTTTCTTAGAAAATATGAGGAAGAAGAACTCCGAAAATATGAGGAAGAAGGAATATATTTCTGTTATATTCAAAACTTCTTATCTTACAAGACCAAATGACACTCCTTATATAGGAGATATTACAAACATGGTTAATGGATCCATATCTGTTTCGGAAGTTACATGTGTTGCTTCCTAAACTTCAGGTATTTTCAAACATGGACCAATTCTTATTACATAAACTGAAAGTTACATGTTTCCTCTTGATTGTTTGTCCTTAGTTTAACTAGGGGGACGGTCAAGAGGGGTGGGGCAGTTAAAACAAGGTGATAAGGAATTGGAAAATTTAAAAGCTGGTATTAATTATGATGGTAGGTCAAAGGAAGCTAGGGTTAAAGAAGTTTTCTAAATGAAGATTATTAGTTGGAATGTCAGAGCTCGTAGCTCCATTAAGAAACGGGGTGGTTAAAGAAGTCTTAGTTGGTAATCCTACAAGAACCAAAATATTCTGTCTTGACAGGAAATTGATAAATAATAAGGGCCGAGCTGACTTTGCTCGCCCGTGTAAAATGTTGGCGTTTTGTCCAACTCGCAGAAGGGCCGAGCTGATTTTGCTCGCCCAAGTGAAATGTTAGCGTTTTGTCCAACTTGCAAAAAGGGCCGAGCTGACTTTGCTCGCCCGAGTAAAATGTCGGCGTATTGTCCAACTTGCAGAAGGGCCGACCTGACTTTACTCGCCCGAATAAAATATCAGCGCTTTGTCCAACTTGCAGTAGGGTCGAACTGATTTTGCTCGCCCGAGTGAAACGTTGGTGTATTGCCCACTTGCACCGAGGCCGAGCTGCTTGGGCCATCCAGGTTTATGGCCGAGCTGATTTTACTCCCCCGAGCTGGAACTTATATTTGACTAACATTTCAAATTGAAGAAGATTTGCTTATCATACCGAAGAAATAACAAAAATAGATACATGACGAGCAAAAGTTAAACTTTTCATTGATTAAGAAAGCGGAAGTACAAAAGTGGGGCTAAGCCCGGTTACATTCCCAAAAAAAAAAGGGAAAAAGGGCGGAAGATTGGTTTAAATCTACATTAACGGTTTGCTCGGCCAGTCCCTCCTCAGCCTCGTCTGCTACCACCGTGACAACCTCTTGCCTGATCTCTCGATCCTTGGCCCCTTCCTCAGAAGCTTCAGAAGGAGGATGTTACTCGGCCGGTTGCACGACGGTAGCTTCTGCTTCAGCTGCTTGTTTGGCTTCTTCGATTAGCCTCCTCTGCACGGCGTCGGCATAAGCTTCCATATAGGCTGGGATGAAGGCAGCAGGAGGGTTTTGAAACACCTCGGCGTCCTGACCATGGCCAAGTTTTTCCACGGCGGCTTTCCAACCGCACTGGGAAAAGATGTCCTTGGTCCCCTAGACCTGCCGTTCATATGCTGTCTCACCCTCGGCATAACCGCGGTCTCCAGCCTCGTCGACCTCCTTCTCTAGCTCGGTTTTGTGAGCGTCGCGGAGTTTGCGCGGCTCGGCAATGTATCGGGCCTTCGTCACGTGGAGGGCCCTCTACTTGTCCTCGTCTGCCCGGGCCAATCTTTCAGAAAGCTTGTCGCGCTCGGCCGCTGCTGCTTCCTGCGCGGCCTTCAGTTTCGCCAGCTCGGCCGCCTTGGCCTTGTTGTCAGTAATTGCCTCCCGCAGACTTTTCCGTACGGCGATCATTCGCTCGTGGGTCAGGTAATTCTTCTGCGCGGCCTACGCAACAAACGAAAATGTCAGAACTCCACAACCGAGCAGACACTTGACAAGAGGAGAACTTGCAAACTTACCAACACTATTGACTTTGTTGCCGAGCGGAGAACCTTCAGGTCGGACAGCTCTTCGTGCTTTTTCCTGTTGGCAGGAAGGAACAGCCCTTTGGTCATGTTGAAGCCGAGAGAGTAATCCTTGTCCGCGTCGACCGAGTCCGCCGTAGAGACAGCCCGGCCTTTGTATGTTAACTCGGGCGACCAGACTGAGTGGGCACTGGATCGAGCTGATGGCTCGGTGATCGGCTGTTCAGTCTGGTCCCCCAAGTCGGTAGAAGCATGCTCGGTTGAATCTTCATCTGCCAAATGTTGTTCGGTCTGATTTTTTCTCGGCCACGCCGTTTATTATTTTGTATGTATTGTTGGAGACTTGGGTCGGGCACAGCCTAATCTGCCTTAAAAATTCGCAGATCAGGGGTTGGACCGGGAAGCGCAGGCCTCCTTCTACAATGGACACCATTGTGAAGGGGCATTTGTCCAGCTCGCCCCAGGGAGTGTCTCCTTTCTTGGCGAGCTCCAAGTGGACATCATCTGGAATATTGTACTCTCTACGGAACTCGGCCTGTGCCCCCGGAGAATTCACCATGAACCGGTACTTCCCCATCTATCCCGGTTTTATTTAGGTGGTTGATTTAGGTCGTATCTCGGTAAAAATTTGGTGAATGTTTGCTCGGACTTTGAGCTTCACCGGTTGTAACGCTGAACGGGCCTGGTCGGTCCTAGTTTGTTCTGCATTATTAAGAAACAAGTCCAAGGATTAGCGTGGCATAAATTGCACGGCTTCACTATCTGGGGCGTTTGATCGGTTCAATTTTCTTATCTCGGCTTCACTTTGTGGCCGACCTGGCCTTCCTAGATCGGTTCTAGCCCCCCTTCTTGCAGCTGGTCTCAGCCTCAAAACAAGACCACAAATAGGTTCTTGCTCGGCTAAATCCTATTTATAGATAAAAAACTTGGGTTTTGCTCGGTCTCGCTCAGGGTTCAGGCTGTTTATCCTAAGTGTCAAGTCCGTGCATCGAAACTAGGGGAAACAAGGGGCATGGGAGCCCCATCTGCTTCTCTGATTCCAGTTTTTCCTAAGGTTTACCAGTATTACCCCAAAGAGGGGGCACTGGTAAGATTCTAACAGTCCCAGGCAAGAACATGAAAAGCGTAAATGGCGAGTACGAAGGAGGGGCAGGTAAACTTACCGATATGGACGCCAAGTGAGGAGCAGTTAACCACGATCTTGTCTACAGCCTTTGGGAGGATGAAGGTGGTCGAGAACGACTGGAGGAGCAGTGATGGTAGAAGCTTGGAAACTTGAAGGCTAGGGTTTGGCTGGAGAGAGAAGATGAACAATAAGGGCGTATGTGACCCCTCATGTGCGTATATAAAGGAGGGGGGAAGCCAAAGGGCGGCAACCTTTTGAAATTTGCACGTGACGAAGACAGCTGTGGGTCTACACGGAACCAATGGTGTGAAGCCACGTGGCATCGAAAAGATGGCTTTGTCAGTATGGTTGTACGATCGATGACTAGACTACTGGGGCAATCCCCGACGACCGACCAATTCGGATGGCCCGGTCAAAATGATAATCCCAAATCACGCTCAGCTCAGATGGAAATAAGGGGCAATTGAGAGGGAGATTTGCGCCGGGCTATGGTGCCAAACCGAATCGGCACGGCCTCTCGGGCTATCGCGTTTGGCCGAGCTATGTCGCTGACCGCAATGCGAAGAAATGCATGTGCCCAACCGAGCTTTTGACTCGGCTAAGTCTTCGGTTGGATTCGCAGTGGTGCGTTTGGACCGAGCCAAGCACAGCCCGGAATGAATTTAGACCGGGATGAAGGCCTGCACGCCTCACGACCAGTCAGTTCGGATGGACCGACTTCTTACAGTTCGGCCGTCCCGGTCGTGGTGGTGTTTCTTCCCATGGGATAGATCGGTTATGATATCCCGGTTGAGTGTGCCACCTGGACCAATGGTGTGATGGATGGGAAATCCACTCGTGGCACGCGTCAATTCCGTTTGGCAGTTCCACACACGCTATGGGGTAGGAGACTCCGACCCACAGGTAGGAAGGTCTCATACTCGCGACGGCAGCTACCGTCCCTCGCACCCGTCGTCGACGTCGAGATACTCTTTCTCTGTCCATTCGGGAGACCTGAGAGATGTACTAGAAGAGAGGGCTCGCCGTAGACAGACCCAAAGGCTGCCGACATCGCAAAGGCTGGGCTCCCAGATCCGTTGTAGTGAGGAAGTGGCAATGCCTGTGCCTAGGATGATAGCACCAAGGGACAGAGAGTTAGCAAGACTTACCGCTACCCCGCTGTCCCCAGAAATTTAGAGCACGCCGTTCCCTGCCGGATTCCACCAGCCTAAGTTCACGTTGTACGACAGCAAGACTGATCCGTACATACACGTGAGTCATTACCGGCAAGTAATGGCAGGACATCGGCGCAATGACGCCCTCATGTGCCTCATATTCCCAGCAAGCTGGGGCGAACTAGGCCTGAAGTGGTTGGAAAGGCTTCCGGAGGGGAGCATCGAGGGCTGGCAACAACTAACAGAGGCCTTCGTCAACAGATTCAAAACCAACACTAGAACACCAAAGGAGGTCGACCATCTCCTGGGCGTTAAGATGGAATTTGGAGGTTCTTTGAACGCATACAATGCCAAGTACTGGGAAAGTTACAACAAGATCCTCGATTGCCCCACCAATTTGGCGATCACCCAATACAAGCGACGTCTCCCAGTCGGACATAGGCTGCGAGATTCGCTTACGATGCACCAGCCCACTACCATGGAATCTTTGATGCAACGGATCAACGAACACATCCGAGTGGAGGACGATGCCGCCACCGCGACCGAGAAGGAGAATCCGGTCCTGGCGGACAGAAGAGTGGCGGGGAAGGTTCACTCGGTAGGGCAGGAGGACAACCGCCCAAACGACCGGTCAAAAGATCAACGTCGTGGCTCAAACCGCGATGATAGGAACAAAGGTCGCAGAAACGACCGAGCTAACGCTCCTCGTGATGAAGAGGAAGATGCCAAGAGAAAGTTGAAAGCGCGAACCAGTATCACCACGGTCTTTAAAATCCCTATTTATCGCATCCTGAGTGAAATCCGAGGTGAACCCTACGTCCGTTGGCCGGCCAAGTTGGGAAACACGCAGAGAGGCTTCAACTCGAGGTATCGCTGCACCTTCCATGAAGAACGAGGGCACCGAACGGAGAACTGTGTGCCGCTCAAACAACATTTGGAGGAGTTGGCGGCGGCAGGGCATCTGGACCAGTACATAGACGGTGGTATGAAAGCCGCTCCCCAGGGACAGGGCGAGCCAAACGGCCTCGTCGTCCTGGATGCAGCGCCGCAGGGTGTGATCAATGTCATCCATGGCATCATTGAGCCGGCAAGGGTTTGCGAACTAAGAGGGATGATCAAGAAAGCTGAGCACATGAGAGAGGTGCTCTCCATTCAGCCCGCCGTGAAAAAAAGGAAGACCGAGGAAAAAGACGTCCTGACCTTTTCTAGCAAAGACTTAGAAAGAATTCAAGTGCCTCATAATCACGCCCTAGTGGTGACCCTCTGCGTCAAGGACTTCGACATCAATAGAATTCTGGTTGACTAGGGGAGTTCGGTCGAGATCATGTATTATGATGCATTCAAACAGATGAAGTTAGAGGACAAGGACTTGGCCCCCGCAACGTCTCCATTGGTTGGCTTTAACTCTCAACCAGAATGGCCGATCGGAAAGATCATATTGCCGGTCAAAGCGGGATCAGTCACGAAGCAAGTGGAGTTTTTGGTGCTTAAAGTCCCATTGACTTACAACTTAATTTTGGGCAGGGGCTGGTTGCATGCCATGTAGGCGGTAGCATCGACCTACCATCAGGTCCTGCGTTTCCCGGCACCAACCGGACGGATAGAAGAGGTTTGGGGAGACCAGGTGATGGCAAGACAGTGCTTCGTCGCAGTAAATGGCAGCAGAGCTGCCAAGGGCTTTGTGCAGATGATAGAGGGCCCGGAGGGAAAGGAAGTCCTGGAAGACGTAGGAAAAAAGGCCAAGGAGAAATCGGTCAAAGACTTGGTGGAGGCAAGTGCAACGGCAAACGCTCCCGTCGCAACTGCACTTGCTGAGGCTCAAGAGGGAGTTGCAGCGCCAAACACTCCCGTCGCAACTACACTCTCTGAGGCTCAAAAAGGTAGTTGCGGAGGCAAACAGATAGTACACAGTACATGCAGAAGGACGCGTGGCACCTTCAGCCTGGTGGCTCAAGGCAGAATATTTCATGTGATCCTCTAGGCCACATGTCCTCTCTCTATTTGGCCACTTGGTGTCCTCTTGGTGCCATGGAAAAGCCTATATAAATAGGACCCATTTCCTAAGTTCAACAAGAGGAATTTTGGGGATTTGGGGGAGATGCTGCCCATTTTGGCACTGCCATACATTTCTTCTTGAGCTACTTTGTTCACCCTCACCCAGCTGCACACTCTCCAACTTCCAGACAGTTGCTGTTGCTCATTCTCAAGCCACTTCCACCATTCTTGGACCATTAGAATAGTTTTGCCTCTCTAATCACCTTCTCTAACCTCGCACCCCCTTACATTTTTGGTGACTCCGCTGGGGAGGCTGCTTTGTTGATTGTTCATACCCGCAGTGGTTTACACACCTCATTGGAACAAAATGGCAGAGGATGAAGTTCAGCAAGGCTCTTCAAATGGCGGAGCAGCACATACGGAGGACCGTGACTACAGTGTTGTGATTAAGGCTGTTCAGTTACTCCAGGATACGCAGAGGGAGATCCTGGCAGCTTTGCAAACTCTCATTGATGCTATTATGGCCATGGCTTCTCGACCAGCTCCAGCGCAAGCACCTCCGCCCGTAGCAGTCCCAAACCCTGTGCCTAACCTGTTCCCTAAGGTTTGGGCTCCGATCCAGGTGCCTCCGGTGGTACTTTAGGCGAACAGTGCGGCTGTTGGTTTAGCTACACAGGAGCAGACTAGACCATTCCAGCCCACTCACTTTGTTCCTCTAGCCGATGAACAAGCTATGCTCGAGCAAGAGCGTAGCAAGAAGCAACTCCCATCTCTCCCCGACTCAGATGTGAAGGCCTCGTACTCTCAGGAGATATTGACCATGCCATACCCAACTGGGTATATAGTGCTAAAGTTTATTAAGTTTGATGGAAAACAAGGCAATGCCAGAGAACAGGTGGTGAGGTTCATAGAAACTCTTGGTGTCCATGGCAGTAACCACTCTCTGCGCCTTCGGGAGTTCTCCAAGTCCACTTACTGAAAGGGCTTGCAGCTGGTATGTGAACTTGGCTCCCAACTCGATCAAGAGTTGGGAGGAGATGGTGAACAAGTTTCCACACGAAGTTCTTCCAAGTCCGAGAGAAAGTTACAACTCTCATCCTTGGGCGAGATGTCCAAAAGGAGGGCGAAGATATACTGGACTATGTTAAGCTGTTCTAAGATAAGGCTAATGACTGTCATGAACCAGTGGACGAGGCCCATTTAGTCAGCATATGTGTGGAGGGGTGCCATACGCGACTACAAAATTTTCTTGGTGAATCATAATTTACCTACCATTTTAGCCTTGATTGAGGCAGCTAGGAACCTCAGTACCACTAGTCCCTTGCACAGAACTCGTGACAGCCACCGCTACCCTCGCAGTAGCAAAGTTGCTGCGGTAACCTCTGCAGGAGGGAGCCGCTCACAAGGGGAGGCGACGTCCTCTCGGAAGAGAGAGAGTTATGAGGACAGAAATCCATGTCCTTGCAGCCTTGAGAATGTTAAGGCTCTGGTTAAAGAATGGGTAGCTGATGGTGAACTTACCTTGCCTCCAGTTGAAGTCCCTCCAACCAAGAAGGACAAAGAAAGCCAGAATTATTGTGTCTATCACAGAACCACCAGACACCCTACTAGGGACTGTTGGACTTTGAAAAGTATCTTCAAGAAGAAAGTTGACGCAAATGAGCTGAAGTTCAAAGATGCCGGTAACCGTGATGTGCAAAAGGACCCTTGTCCTAACCACAAGGAGAAGGGGAAGAATGTACATATATGATTGGCTATCTCGGGCCTGTGCGTGATCAAGTGCATATGGCGTCTTACTATGATGAGTTAGAAGAACTTGCAACCGGCCAGCTCCCTGAGACAGTACCTGCCGAGGCAAAATTCGTAGAGGATGCTAATGCCCAGGCCTTGCAAAACTCTGTTAAGTTTCGCGCCTTGTTTGACCAGTTGGGGCTGAGCCAAGCCGCCAGGTTGGAAGCAACAAAAGCCCTCATTAATATCTTTGAAGTGCACCATGATGAAGTTGCTAAGGCTAAGGAGTATGTGGCTCGGCGCATCCAGGAAGCTTATGGGGCCATTACTTTTTCAGAGGCAGACAGAGCATACCCATTTCCCCATAATCGTCCTCTTTTTGTCACAGCTTACATCAATGATGCAGAGTTCAAGCGTGCTTTCCTTGATGCCGGGGGCGTCAATAAACATCATCACTACTGACACCTTTGCAAAGGCTGGTATCCCGAGTCCAGGATGGTTCGCCAACCCATCACTGTGACGGGTTTTGGGGACGAGAAAAAAGATACCAAGGGCCATGTGGTCATGGACTTAGCAGTTGGTGAGATCCGTTCCGCAACCAAGTTTCATGTGATCAAAGCAGAACAGAGCATACCCATTTCCCCATAATCGTCCTCTTTTTGTCACAGCATACATCAATGATGTAGAGTTCAAGCGTGCTTTCCTTGATGGCGGGGGCGTCCATAAACATCATCACTACTGACACCTTTGCATAGTCTGGGATCCCAGAGTCCAGGATGGTTCGCCAACCCATCATTGTGATGGGTTTTGGCGGCGAGAAAAAAGATACCAAGGGCCATGTGGTCGTGGACTTAGTAGTTGGTGAGATCCGTTCCGCAACCAAGTTTCATGTGATTGAAGCAGACACAAATTGCCACATGATACTTGGCAGAGTTGGGATGCACTATGGAGCTATCCCGTCCAATTATCACCAGTGCGTGAAGGCAAAGTTGGGAAAGCGCACAGTAACCATATAAATACGTCTGAACAGCCATTTGGGGTTGAGGAGGCACACTATTCGGATGCAGTTTTCTTTATTGAGTTGTCAACGGGTGAAACTCCAAGGACTGGTAAAGTTGCAGGAGTAAAAAGGCATTCGGGATGCAGAGGCTGCTCCAGAAAGTAGTGGGCAGAAGAGGAGCAGCAAGCCCACAAGTCCTTCGCCCAAGATTGTTAAGGTGCGGGAGAGCGGTAAGACAGTTTACTACCTATGACGGGTCTTGGAGGCCAGGCTTCACATACCTTGGGAGGATGGCCCCGAGACAAATAAATGTGATGATGACGAGTCCCAAGAAGAGTTGGTGGAGACGCCTGAGCCCACTCCTGAATGCGTGCAAGATAGACCCAAACCGCAGCAGGAGGTACTTGCTGAGGTCAACCTCAACGACTTACCAGGGCAGAGCAAGCCCCGTGTTCATCAGCGACACAATGGCTCCAACAGTTAAGGCATAATTGATAACACTACTGAAGCGGTACAGTGACGTCTTTGCTTGGACATACGATGAGATGCCTGGTCTTGACCCATCTCTTGTCACCCATCACCTGGATACTTTTCCCAACTTTAAGCCAATAAAGCAGCATGCTCGAAAGTATCACCCTGACCTTGAGGCAAAGATTAAGGAAGAGGTAGAAAAGTTGTCGAGGGCCAAGTTCATTGAGCCTATAGAGTACCTAACTTGGCTAGCAAATATTGTGCCTGTGGAGAAGAAGAACGGCCAGATCAGGGTCTGCGTAGACTTTCTCGACCTGAATGAATGAGGCCTGCCTATTGCCCCATGTTGACACTTGTCGATTCTACTGCGGGCCGTAAGATGTTCTCCTTTATGGATGGGTTCAGTGGTTATAACCAGATCAAAATGGCATCAGAAGATGCAGAAAAAACGGCATTTAGAACACCCTTGGGAAATTTTTTCTATACGGTGATGCCCTTCGGTTTGAAAAACGCGGGGGCAACCTACCAACGGGCTATGACTGCAGTGTGCCATGATATGTTGCATCATGAAGTGGAAGTATATGTGGATGATCTGGTGGTCAAGTCTACCGAGGCAAACCGACACCTCTGCGACTTGGAAAAAGTTTTTCAGCGATGCCGCAAATTCTGCTGTTAAAATATATCATCACCTACCACCTCCACTCAACTCACCTACCACACACACTCACCTACTCCCCAATCCTGTCCTATATAATAAGTACCTCACCATCTGTAATTTATACAACACATCAATCAACATCAATCAATAATACATCAGTTTCTTAACATCTGCCTAAAGATGAACCCTTTCTCTATACATTATTTCTTACAATTATGATCAATCAATAATACATTAATTTTTTACATGGTATCAGAGCAGGTTTAGAACTTAATATTTTCGCTTCACCGGCGGGCGGCAACCTCACCTTAGCCGTCCGCCGGACCTCAACCAAATTCCGCTAAAGTTTTCTACACGCCCTCACTCCGCCGCCGTATTTCACCGCCGCTCATCTTCCTCCGGCCAAATTCCTCTCAAACTCCATGTCTTTGCCACTGCTAGGCAGTCGGTCTATGCTTACAGGAGTAAATGATGTCAACACCTCTGTATCAGAAGGAACTTGTGATACTGTCCATACACAAGTAGATTATGACACCACTCTGGAAGACTTAGTTGCTCAGGTGATGGTTCCTGTAAGATCCCCAACCGTGGCACTTATTGTCACTAATGCCTTGATGTTGCGTATGCCTTTTGAAGCTCTGGCAGAAACATGTGAGGCTGATAGATCTGCTTTCGACATGTCCTTACTGCTATTTGCAGCCCTTGTAGGGGCCACAGTTGGAGGACTGCTTGCAAGACACAGGAGAGGAGAATTGGAACGGCTGAATGAGCAGTTGCGCCAGATCAATACAGCACTAAGAAGGCAAGCAAAGAATCTTAGATCTGTGACCACCTTTGATCGAAAAATGATGATTGACATTAGGAACAAACTGCATTCAATGTAAGCCGCAGCTCCCTTCAGCTTTTTCAGCTTCAATCAGCCGGCACATAATCAGTGGGAAAGGTGTTGCTGGTATAGGA